ATATAAATGCTCATGGTTTGCCACAAGACTTTGGCTACTCCAGGTACTATTCACCCCCAGAACTAAGGGGATTGGCAACCCTTGTAACCCACTTACTGAGGCACACTACTTGAAAAGCACTGTTGTATGTAGTTTTCTCCATGTGCTGTTTCCACTTGGATTTCTGTTTCTAAGATTTATTCCTATGATTGCATGTGGCCGTAGTTCATTCCTTTTCACTGTATATAATATTCCTATGTGAATATATAAGCATTTTCATCTTATCCTGTTTAGCTCTCCTGCTTGCTTTTCATTTACGTTAAGGGTCATTCCAGCCTACCATGAAGTATGGAAAACTATTGGATTTGACTTAACGTATTCTTAGGATTCAAAGACATGACTTTAAATTTTGAATTTAAAAACCTGTTTAATTTTAGATTGAATCTTAGAGTATATGGTAACAAGAAATAGAATTTGATCAGTATATAAGACATAACTTTCTCTGTTTATATTATTAGGACAAGTCTGTTTGGTTGGTGGTGTTTGCCTGGAGTACTATTGGAAATGTATTTTGAGCCAAGTGAGGGCTCTGTGGTTAAGAATTCAGTAATCAGTTATGGATGTCTGCCTTGGGTATTCCTAATAGAAGTAAAGACATGCTTGCTACTTATTTGCCTTCCCTAATCTATCTGCCTCTCCTTCTGTGATTATCTTGAAACTATGTTGATTATCTGGGTATTATCTAATTTGTAGCTAACCTCTTTTGGAAAATGAAATTCATGGTTAGATTTAAAAGTCAAAGAATAGCATGTAGTTGTGCTCTTTTTTTCTGATAATTTGTTATTGTCTCTAATTACCTTCACCACAGTTGATGCTCTTCTCACATGTATATAAAATATTCTGTCCCTTCTGTACAGCATATTTTACTATCATTATTAAGCTTCAAACTGGAAAGTAAGTAAAATGTCCTTTGGTATCCTCAGTTTCAGGGTTTGAACTCAGCTTTATGTACATAGATCTTGTCCCCTGTAATTTAAAATAACTAGAGTAGCAAAGCTTCTGTAAACTCTCCAGAGTCTATTAAACATTATTTTTAAGATAACATCTTTCCTTGTTCGTCATTTATGAATGTTTGGTCAGGAAATGATCATAAAAAGCTTCAAATCCCAATTGAATAATGTGTTCTTAAAAGTAGCTGCCAAGTGTAAATACCACTGATATACATTCATGCATATGATAGTGTATAAATAACTGGGGAAAGCATAGCTAAGGTCAATCAATTATGTATAGGTCAGAATGCTTTCCATCTGGATTGAGTCATTTTAGCAAATGACATCATGTGTCCTTTGGAGTCTATTATGAAATGTGGCTTGAGTCATTATAGATTGGCTTCTTCTCTGGGTTACCAGGATGGCAGTGGTGAGACTTAATAAATAAATGTATTGGACTCTGCAGGAGCAGATTTACATAATTAGGGTGCAGTGATGAAGGCTTCTCATTCTGCAGAAACCCTTTGGGCTCCATCAATTTCTAGTTGTTTATCCTTTGTGGTTGATTTTTTTTTTTTAAAGGAACTGAAAACAAAAGAGTTTAAACTGAGCCAAATGCTCTTTATAGAACTGTAATGGACATCTTTCCATGACATTGAAAGACCAGCAGGGAATCAATAGTAATGAATCTGGCACCCTTCTCGTCTCTTCTAACTTCATCATTGCTCTTCTGGATGGGGCTGCTTGGACACTTTAAGTTTGGTTTGTAATTTATATTTTGATCTGATGAGGAGTGGTCACACCAGATTGCCAGATAGACCCTAGAGCCATTGGTGGGATGGGATGTTGTATGAGATGGAAAGAGATGTTGGCATTTTTCAATTGGCACAACAGGAGATGAATTTAGCTGATAGACCAAGTGATAAAAGGAGCTGCCAAGTCCAGTCATTTCCGATTAGTCAGGGCTTGAGGAGGTAAATGTTACTTGACAGAATTTAATGTGTGATTTTTCCCTCCCTTCAGGATATTTTGGAAATGTTAAAAAGTTGACTTTTTTTTTTTTTTTAAGTAGGATAGCTTGGAATGAAAGACTTTCGGTCAAAATTGCTGTCATATTTTATAAACTTTTATAGGTGGAATCTAGTTCGATCCTTGGAAGGAGGAAGACTTGGACATTCTTAGCAAAGATGAAAGGAAATGGTCCTTGCCTTTAGGGAGCCTATAGTTTAGTGGAAAGACATGCAAACAGATTATCACAGTATAAAATGACAGTTACTCAAATAAGATATGTGTGAATCCAGACAGTATTTATATTTTTGGCACTTATATTATCCTTCACTTATTTGTTTGGATTATGATAACTATGGCTAAGAAACATGCCCCCACTTGTTCTTATTCTTAAGGCATATTGAGAGTGAACTTTGAAATTTCAAGATGGATACCGTAGAAGAGGCAAAATTGTACACTCTTTTAGGGTTTTCTTTTCAACTGGGCCTGAGACTTAAATGAATATAAGACAGATTAATGGGAGAAAAGCACGCATATTTATTTAATATAAGTTTTATGTGACATGAGATACCTCATAAGGAAATGAAGACTCAAAGAAGTGGCAAAGCCTAGATGGTTTTATATTAGGTTGAACAAAGAGAGGCAGTTGTAGAAAAGTAACTAAACTGTGTGGAAAGGCTAAAGGAAGATAAGAATTATTTTAACAAGATCTGTTTGTACAGACTTTTCCTAGTCTCATTTTCCCATCCTTGATGACAAGAATGTGTCTTTCCTTCTGGTATCACGGGACATCTTCTAGAGGGGGTTTGTCTCCTGCTTTCAGGAAGAAAAGGGGGAGGGTTAGAGAACCCTTCTTGCATCTGCTGGATTTTGTTTTGTTTTTTAATGTGCCTTTGGCTCAACATAATCCTCAGGCTAAAGTGGCATATTTTGGGCTGGCATATTCTCCCACACTTCACTACCCTATGTTTTGGCCATTCAGAGGCAATGTGGCTGCCCTTATCCTGGAATAGTCTTGAGATTCTGCATATGATCCGAAGCCTTAACTCCATTGCAATGAAACTCCATGGATTCTTAGGGACTATTCTTTGATTATGACTACAGAGACACCAGAACAAATGGTTAAAAGATGAATAAATATGTCAAGTTGTCATTGACTTGTCAAGTTGCCTGCGGTATCCAACAGCTGATTGCACTGCTATGTTTTCTTTCCCCGCTATAGTGATTGGCTGAGATTATAATCTGTGGTCAATGGATTGATCAACTGATTTGGTGTGGTATAGATAGATAAAAAGTGGAATCTTTTTTTTTTTTTTTTTGAGATGGAGTTTTGCTCTTGTCTCCCAGGCTGGAGTGCAATGGCGTGATATCAACTCATTGCAACCTCCGCCTCCCAGGTTCAAGCAGTTCTCCTGCCTCAGCCTCCTGAGTGGCTGGGATTACAGGCACCCGCCACCATGCCTAGCTAATTTTTGTATTTTTAGTAGATATGGGGTTTCACCATGTTGACCAGGCTGGTCTTGAACTCCTGACTTCAGGTGATCCACCCGCCTTGGCCTCCCAAAGTGCTGGGATTGCAGGCATGAACCACTGCGCCCAGACAAAAAGTGGAATCTTTTTTGCCCCATTGAAAGAGACCTTTCCCTTTATTTAGAGAAAACAATCCTGCTATAGCTATAAATGCTAGTTAATGAAGAACAAGGTCTATCTCTGATGTTTTTTGACCCCCATCTAGATCATTCTCCTTAAATACTCTCACTAGAGTTTTTCTTACATCTTTTAGCCAGATATTAATGCTTAACCCATTTCCCGTTTGCTCCAAGAGTACTGTGCTGGTAGCAAGCTGCACTTCTTTCTTCTAAATGGTAAGTGGGTTAAGCATATTATAGGGTGATGAAGGTCATTGGGAGTCAAGAGACCTGCATTCCAGTCCTGGCTTCACCATTAACCAGCTGAGCAGCATTCCAGTCCTGGGTTCACCATTAACCAGCTGAGCAATGATAGGCAGCGTGTTTTACTCTGTTAGGTTTTTCCTCTTTATTTGGTTGTTACAGTTCCTTTTGGTCATGGGCTGCCTTACTGTTTGGATCCTTGGTGCCTTAAGTAGCACCTGGCACCATAGTAGATCGTAAGTGTTCCCTGACTAGAAAAACAGTAATACTAATAGCAATAAACAGTTTATGTTGAAGGGAGTGAAAATATTAATAATGTTAAGCAACTCTAAGAATTTTATTTTTAGCATGTCTTCTTTGCCTGTGCTCTTGTTCCTTGGATGAGTTGAGACTCCAACTCACAGCCTCTCGATTTCTCTTGAAGAGTACAAAAGACACTTTTTCTTGTATCCAGTATTTTTTTCTTATGATAAAACAGTACATACTTATGATAGAAAATATAAAAGCCACAGATAAGCAAAAAACAAAAACAGAATCTCCTATGTATCAGGAATATGTTCAGCAGCAAAATAAAGAAAATCCAACCAATAGTGACTTTCTTCAAGTCTTTAGAGGATAATCTAGAGCTGATGTTTTGATATTTCTCTACTACTACTGTTCTTAGCATGGTTTTTTTTTTTTTTTTGTCTTTGTAGTCACAATGAAGCTGCTGTTCCTCCAGACATTATGTTTAGATTGGAAAGGTAAATGATAGACCTGTTAGATAAATCCACTCCTTTTAATCAGACAATTTAAAAAGCCCTACCTAGGCCGGGCATGGTGGCTCATGCCCGTAATCTCAGCAATTTGAGAGGCTGAGGCGGGTGGATCACTTGAGGTCAGGAGTTTGAGACCAGCCTGTCCAACATGGTGAAACCCCATCCCTACTAAAAATACAAAAAAATTAGCCAGGTATGGTGCATGTCTGTAATTCCAGCTACTTGGGAGGCTGAAGCAGGAGAATCGTTTGAACTCGGGAGGCGGAGGTTGCAATGAGCCAAGATCGTGCCACTGCACTCCAGCCTGGGTGACAGAGTAAGACTCCATCTCTGCTCCAGCCTAGATGACAAAGCAAGACTCCGTCTCAAAAGAAAAAAAAAAAAAAGCCCTACCTAGCAGCCTTCTTTAATATCTTATTTTATAGAACAATTCACAAGTGCAAAGAATGCTGGAGAGAAGGGACTATGAATGGAAGATGGCTGACCAATGAATGTTTGTCAAACCAATGGCATACAAAGATAATAGCTGTCAATAAATATGACTTTACAATATCTACTGTTTTGCAATGTGTTTCCCCCCTTAATAGTACCAGAAATCTGTTTTTCATGTTATTAAATATTCTACCACTTAATTTTCAGTGTCTGTATAGTGTAGTCATGCCTCACTTAATGAAAGCTGTGTCATTAGACAATATCATACTCATATGAGCATCACTGTACTGAATACTATAGGCAACTGTAACACAATGGTAAGTATTTGCATATCTAAACATAGAAAAGGTAATGCATGCACTAGGACTTTATGACAGCTACAGTGTCACTAAGAAGTAAGAATTTTTTAGCTCCTTTATAATCTTATGGGATCGATGTCATATATGCGGTCTGTCATTAATCAAAACTTCGTTATATGATGCATGACTGTATCCCACTTTATGGCTATACCATAATTAATTTGAACAGTCTTCTTTCGCTTGGCATTTAAGATGTCCAAGTTTTACTATTATAAATAATGCAATGATGAACATCCCTGTAGATAGGTTTTTTTCCAGATTCTTTTGACCTTTTCTTTCATTTTGATTCTGCTTTTTTTTTTAAAAAAAGAAAATCTGCAAATAGCAATGACATAAATAAATAAGCAGATAATTAGGCACCCGCTTTAACCAGAGCCTGGGAAGAGGAATTTTTAATAACTCTGATAACTTAGATTATATCTGCAAGATGCAAAATACCTCACTGATTGGGCAAAGTTGGAGAAACAATTGGTAAATTCAGAGACAGGGTAGGGAGGAGGGAAGTGACCCACTTTCTGATTAAATCAATTTAATCAGTTTAGTTAAAATAGATTAATGTCTTTTTCAGGCCTGGCTAAGGGGATCTAGAAGTTTGCAGATATGTTAATTTTCAGAATCCCTCCTGCCTGAAAATATAGTTTCCCCTGGCATTTGTGTTTCTTTTTGTACAAAGGTTGTCAAATGGGAGTGGGAAGGTAGTATATCTCATAGCTCATCTGTCATAAAACATTGCTATGCAGGCATGGCAAGGTTGAAAGCCTGGCATCCATGCTAGCTAAAAGCAGAGATTGCAAAGAAGTTTGGTCTCCAGGGGAGTAAAAGGGGAAATGCTGTCACGTGCTCCCCTCCTGCCACCATTGGTGTGGGATTTGGTAGGGGGATTACTGACCCTTTCCCTTGCTTGAGAATAATGGGTCAGCAAGTTAAGAATAGGGCAGAGAGTTCTGGAACTTGCTAAGAACATTACCTCTGGTAGCAGGCTTTAAATGTCAGTGCTTTTTCTAATGTACACTAGGAGTATTAATTGAGAAGCTGGCCCATATGCTTCAACTATATCCAACTATATATATTTTTTAATGTTGCAAAATAAGGTTAACTTTTATGGGGAATATTTTATGCCCTGCTTTCTGTTATCTGCCAGACAAATTGAGGGTGATGGAAAACTGATGGGTGATGAAGATAAAAGAGCGATGTTGACCTTTTGGTAAATCATTGATCATACTGCTTCATCTGTAAGTAGTTTTCCAGTTGCAGCTCATATTTGCTAATCATTACACTTGACTCTCATTTCTGCAGGGACTGATTGTCTTGTTGTGGATTGCCTTTTCTTTTTTAAAAAAAATTGGTTATTGTTACAGCTGTTTCATTACTAATACTTCCTCCACAAGAGGGGGCTTGTGAATAGAGTTGGGAATTAATAATTCAGTTTCTGCTGCTCTTCATTCTCCTCAGTAGCTGAGATGAACTTTAAGCAATCCATTCACCTACTCTGTTTTGAGTCTTCTTGAACCCAGTGGAATTCAGTTACAAGATGACTATCTTTGACAGTGGCCACAGACTAGAATAGTTAACTAATGTTAATGGTCTAGCACCAGGATATTTTTGGTTTTCATGTTAATCAAAGTCGCACTAGGGAAAACTAAAGGGGAAAGCAAGAATAACTTCTTAGTTCAATCCTGAGTCACATACTAGAAATTATGGAATTCATTATAGTGGAAGCATACATCTGTATGGACCCAAAATGGATCCAAGGCTGGGTGTCTGGAAGAATCCACCTTACCAACATTGTAGATATCGATGGGCTACTAGGTTATTTGAGCCTTCTGCCTGACTTTTGCCAATGCTTAGAGTTCAGAAGCAAGGTTAACATATAAGACCCCCTTAGGGATGAATGGGCCTGTGGGACCTGGAGGCTAGGAAGGACACCTAGCACCTGGTCTAGGTGAAGACACTTAAGGAAAAAATTTTGCCTCAAGGATGCAGAGAAATTGACTGGGGAATCCACTAGGGAATCTGAGCAATTATAGTGTTGTGCTGAGTAACCCTACAGAGACTGTATCTTAATTATATATTTTAGGGTTTATTAAACTAGGAACTCTGTCCCCTCTATGGGCTAAAGAGTATTTTGATATTTTGATTGAAACAAAATGGGAACTAGAGACACTAAGAAACAGAAGCTAACCAGAAATGCTTTACTTTTCCTTTATTTCCAATCAAATGCAATGTCAAGAAATATCTAGATGTTATCTGGACTTTGCCTATCCCCTGCCTGAAGTTGGAATTCTTCTGTTGAGTAAATGGTCCTTGGGTCCCAGACTGGCATTGTTCATTTGGTTGGTGGGTGCAGATGGGCAGTTGTTGCTTGTAACTTTGCAGCCAAGCTTCTGAAGGCATGACCACAAGACCATTCTAGATGTCTGTGTGTGTGGCTGGGTGGGCATGCGGGTACAGGTTATGACCTTTTCAAAAATTTTGTTATGGCACAAATTGTAGACTTGTGAATGCAACCAATTAGAATACTTTTACTTCGCTTGGAATACCAAAGAACAAATTTCTTTATATTTTTAATAGAAATGCAAACAGCAAGAAATGTGATTTCCAAATAACAACAAAATCTTTTAACAGGGAATTTTCAACTGTTACAAATTTTCCTTCCTTGGTTAGATATAGAAAGCCAGTCTTTGGAGGGAAGGGACACTTAGATCTTAGAAAAACAGGCGACAGTCATAGTCTGTTAATACCAGATGCTTCTTAGGAGAATAAATAATTCTTACATGATGGTGATATTTTAGATATTTGAGGGTTTTTTAAGGGTCTTCCACAACAATATGGTACAGAATTTAGTCTGAGAGGAGGCTGAAATAAATTAAAATGAATTTTTGGAATCCTGCTTATTGGAAATGCTGATGCTATTGTGCTGTTAGATGCTCCTCACTTTTTCCTGCTATAAATGTACAAACTTCCCTACCCTCATACCTGCCCTTGCCCTTTTCCTCAAGACTCAGATATTAAGAAGAATTTTGTCTTCTGAATGCTTCCTTCACCTTTTACTCTTCTGCCCCATCCAATTTGTTAGCCAGTAACCATATCTGACTGTTTACATTTAAATTAGTTCAAATCAAAGTAAAAAATTCAGATCCTCAGACACACTGGCCTCATTTCAAGGGCTAAGAAGTACATGTGCCTATTGTCTATCTTATAGGATGGCATAGATACCAACATTGCCATCATCACAGAAAGTTCTTTTGGATAGCGCTGCTTGATACTCTTGGCAAGCTCCTAAGGAGGCTTCCCCATCACCCTCTCCAGGGGTGTCTGTTTTTTTCTCAGTGTCTGGCAGTGGAGTTGGTGTCTTCTTGTGTTGTTCATTGTCACTTCTAGACAGTTCCTTTTCTCTTCATCCTCGGAGGCTTTTAAAGCACATGCCATAAAACTGTTCTACAGCCTACTCCTCTGTATTTATTGAAGACTTCCCCCCAGCGCCCTGTTCTTATACCCATCGTTCTCTGTAAAAACATCCACAGAGAATACTCACACCTGGTCTATCAGGTCCCTGAGTTTCTCACTTGCAAATGTCTCTCTCTGCCTCATAGTCATACCCCAGGCCAATGGTTCACAATCTAGGAAGTACCACTCTCCTAGGGAGTAATTGCAAATGTAAGGAGTGCTACTGGCATTTAGAGGGCAGAAGTTAAGGATGCTAAATGTCATTCAGTACATGAGGCTGTTCTGCACGACGAAGAATTGTTTCCCCCAAATGCCAATAGTGCCCTCATTACGAAATGCCATGCTAACCTTCAAAGTGTGTTTCAAAGCATCCCACTCTCTGACCACCACCTCCTATCTTTTCAGGGTTGCTGCCTCACATGACATTAGCATTCTCTACTCCAACAGTTCTTTGATCCTGTGGGGCCTCCAATCTATTGACTTACAGCATTTATGTACAATCCGTCATCCTCCCATGCCCTTACTTCCCTCCTTGCCCAGCTCAGATACTATGGTTCATCTCTTCTTTACATGCACACTGAAATCCTTTGCTCATCTTTCTCTGTCATTCTTGTCTGGCAAAACTTTGACCCTCATTCAGCTTTCTGCCTGCTTTGGGCTGAGTGTAGATGGGTGGAGGAGGACACAAAGCTATGCTGACTGCATTACTTTGCACTTGTGTCCACAAGTTTTAAGTGTTCTACATGGTGATCCTGCATTGTTTACCTAATACTTCTACTTTCTGAGAAAACTATTTTATATCTTCACCTGTACCTCAAATCTCTAATGTCCATCCCCAGCTCTCCCAATCAGTTGATTCTCTCACTTCATATTTCACTGGAGAAATAGAAACAATCAGAAGAAATTACCTTATTTTCTCTAACAAATCTACAAGCCTATCTGTATCCATCCCCACAGTCCCCATCTCCCTTTCTGGTATTCTGCATGAACTGTATAAACCCTGTAATAGGGAGGCCGAGGCGGGTGGATCACTTGAGGTCAGGGGTTTGAGACCAGTTTGGCCAACATGGCAAAACCCCGCCTCTACTAAAAATACAAAAAATAAGCTGTGCGTGGTGACGGATGCTTGTAATCCCAGCTACTCAGGTGGCTGAGGCTGGAGAATCACTCAAACCCAGGAGGCAGAGGTTGCAGTGAGCCAAGATTGTACCACTGCACTCCAGTCTGGGAGAGACAGCGAGACTCTCTTGTTTTGTTTGTATCAAAACAAAACAAAACAATACAAAACGCCTGTAGTAACTCCCCATCATCCTCAGAATTAAATTCAGTCTTTTTGCCATGGCCTCAAGGCCCTTCAAGATTCAGCTCTCTTCCTTTCACCTGGTCTCATACCGCTCTCATTTCTCCCTGCAGTCTGTTGACATTGGTTTTCTTGCTGTTTTTCTCAATATCTTTGTATTTGCTCTTGCTTTTGTTAGGAAATCTTCTCCCCGAGATATTTGTATACCTTTGCCTCCTGTTGCACTCAGGTGTCTGCTCAAATGTTATCTTCTCAGAGAATCCTCCCTTGACCATCTTGCCTACTGTAGCTTTCCTCTGCCCTCATCATCCTCCATCTCTTTGCCCTGCTTCATTTTTCTTTACAAGACTTATAACTCCCTGATATCATATTATAAATTCATGTTCATCTTTCTATTGTCAGAATATAACTTCTATGACAGTGGGGAGTTGCGTATCTTGATGACTTCTATATCGTTAGTACCTAGAACAGTGTTTTACACTCACTGTTTATTGATGAAGTATTTAACATATATTTGATAAATTAATGTTGCATGAATAAAGTGTACTGACTACTATGGCAAAGGCTATTTTAATCTGGCATGCCTCTACTACTCAGAGCCACATGATGACTCAATTTTCTCACCACTTTTCTCTATTTGAAAGATTGGGAAACTTCCTTTTGCACTGTCTCATAATATCATTTGGCTTTTATTTAATATAAACACATCATTTACATATTAATTCTGCCTTTGTTCTTTTCTCATTAGCCCATAACAATTAAAATAGACCATTACTCTGCCACACTATGAGTTTTTATGATGTCATATCAAAGTCTCCATTAATTAAATAACTTAATAAATTAAAGTCTTATTCCATGACACTATCTTTCCATTGCAAATTATCTTCATGAAGAGCGCAATAGCAGACATGGGACAATTTTAGCTTAGGACATGCCAACCTAGCAGCCAGATGTGCTCGCTGACACACTGAAACTCAAAGCTGTCATTTTAAGTGATTGTTTGGTTCCAGTGACACTGAGAACAGAAAAGAGTTGATGGAGGAAAAAAAAGACAAACTCAGGCACTGCTATTGAAAAGCATAGCTCAATTATCAGGTTGTCATTTAGATTCTTCAGGACAATAATTGGAATAAAACCACAAAAATGTAAAGCATATTCTCATAGACTGTTTGGAGCTATGATACTGTGCCTTTGGATTCAGTTTGAGAAACACTGAGCTGTAGGGTAAAGTTCAAATTTCTTAACTTATACTATGCGACCCTCGTTTAACTGGAGGAAACATTGGATTGTTAGGTGGTAGGATGAAGGCAGGGAGAGAAAAGATACTAATGCAATTGTCAAGGTAACAGGTGAGAGACTGGGGTAGGGAAGAAGAAAGGTAGAAGAGACAGAATGAGAGCTATTCCAGATAGAAATTTTTAAAACTGAGGAGGTTGAAGAGGAAAATACAGCAACATTGGAGGTCGATGACAAGTGGATTCACTT